GATGTAGTTTCCGAAGAGTTAGATAATTCACAGAACTAAACCGAAGAAATTTCGGGAAACGAATAAATTTTTAGGTGTCCCAAAATTTATGAAAACAGCTGTAACTGTAAAAAGTAGGCTAGATTGGTGAGCTTTATAAACTTCACTTTCAATATCAATTTGATGGGTAATACTAATTTGATCGTTAATAACAATACTGTACATGTCAGCTATTATATTTCAAGCAAATTATTAACACTAAAGATGCGAACCGTTATCTACCACAAAACTTTCAAAATAATGAGTGAAAATGACAACAAACCTTTGAATTTTATAATTATCTCTTCAATAATAATGTTGAATACAAAGAACATGCCAGAAATCAACTAGCACATTGCTTTCGAAAAATTTCCGTGTCCCTGATACGAAGTGATAAATATGGAATTGGTGTTAGAAATGATGAAGAAAAAGCTTTCAAATTTTTGAAATAAAATTATCATAGTTCGACATAGTGTCGCCGAATTTATAATACCCGGCCAGAATTATACTCTTAACTTTGCCTAAATTTAGCAGAACGGTTTATTTAACTATATTTAGCGTTAGTAAATCTTTGGTGGTTTATTATCGGTATATTATATCTCATTTAAGAATAACATGGTTAATTATCTATTTTTGCTAGCAATATATATTGACTTAAAACGAAATATTTTGGATTTTCAGAACATAAAAAGAAAACTTATTTTCTACCAGAGACTATGTGGAATTTTTGCTATCTAGAAATTTAGTAAGTATAATATAAATAATTTACTGTATCCATTATAAAAATAAAAAAAAAGAATTTTTAATATATTAAAATCATTACGCTAATACAGTATTACAAATTATATTTGTTTAATATTAGTGTGATTATTTGAAGTACAACTAATTAAAAATAGTTAAATGAATTAATTAATATTAGGTTCTCTAAAGATCTAGATCAAAATACGTAAACAATGTTGTCTTGGCATTTTATGTGAACATGTAGCAAAGCGAAAGTTTACTTTAATTGGCTAAAAATAATCTCTAAAACTAAATAGTAACAATAATATTTCGATAATTACATCACACAAAAAATTGTGCGATAAACTAGTAGCTGCGAAACATGACAACTAAAAAATTGTGCAATAGAGTTAAGTTTCTGCCAAGAAAAGATTTCAGAATTCGATTTAATGAATTACCAGAGCGGTAGGCTGGTTAATGAAAATAAAATTGAATGGTGTTTTTTATATTTTATTTAAACTGCCATTTTTTTTGTACCGACTAAATTTCATTCAACTTTAAACGGTCTTACGGTGTAATATAGAGGGGAAGCTGGATGAAATTATTTCTTCTCCATTTGTTTACATTTCTATCGAATTCTAGTTGTATATTGTAAATCGAAATCGAGCTGATCGAAAACTTAATTTGAGTAATTGAAGTTTCAAAAATTGTGCGACCAGTCCAATTCGATTCAGTGGTGTACTATCAGAACTTTATATGAAAAGAATAACAAAATTTATAGGATAAGACAATTCGCCAGAGGTGTGTTGATGGTGAATTAGAGAGAACAGCAATAGAATTAAATGTGGGGTTTTATTATTATTTTATTAATTTGGCAATTTTAATACCCGAAGGTTGTTTTTGCATTCAAGAAAAATTAATCCCCTTTTATAATAATGAACTCCAATCTACCTTCTACGTTCACATTATATCTACTAAAACCTTTTATTGATGATCTCTAAACCTTGTAGATCGTACACGTAATATAAATAAAATTTTTTCTTTCTAATTAATGTTTCATGCGGCGCTTTATTACTGAGCTGATTGGCCAATATTTCAAAACTAGTGTCAATTCTTCTTAAAAATTTTTTTAATTTTGTAATTTCTTTCACAAAATTGGTTACCGATTCTATGTTCCATAGCATTGTCATATGAAAAAGTTGCATAAAAATTTTGGTTATATTTAATTGTACAAAATTTTTTTTTTACTGAGATTAAATGAATAAAAAGAAGAGATCAACTGAATGTACAAATTCAATATATAAATATAAATACATAGATAATCGATGTGAAAAAGTTTTGGTTATATTTAATCGTACAAAATATTTTTTTTGTTTTGTTTTACAGAGACTTAATTATAAAAAAAAAGAAATCAGCTAAATAAATTCATATGTAAAGATTAAAAATAATATAGGCTAAATTTTATTTATAAAACTATCATGTTTTTCTTTAATCTTTAAATTCACTTTTTTTCTTATTACGAAATAAAATAAAAAGTAAGTATTATTTAATTTTTTAAATATATTGGATTTTTTATTTGTATATTCTTTTAAAATTTTTATACAATAATGAATTTAATTATTTCCCGAAATATACTATATCGATATAGTGCAATTAAATTTCAATTTATAAATAATTTAGTCAAGTGGAATTACAAAATTTTAATATTTATTCTATAAATTAAAGTCATAAATAATATTAACTAATATGCTTTTCTATAGCATTGCCTCTTAATAAACCATTACTTTGTATGGTTTATAGTTATAATATAAATAAATAAAATTATGTGGCTTAGTAATTTGGATGTTTTTTTTGTATATAAGATAACCCGCCTACCAAACCAGAGGTTACAAACATCCCGTGAACCTAAATTACTAGTAAATTTTAGGTTACATGTATCCTATACTCATGAAATGTAACCTAATTTAGGCAAGATTTCCTTTTTAGGGGGACGTCTATAACGGAGCAGATTTGCATAGACTGTCAATTAATATGACTGTTGAAAAAGTGTTATTTGGTTCTAGGTTAGAACTCGTCCGGAGGTTTGGTTACACAGAGCTTCGGGTTCACTAATCTATACAAATAAACCGAGATAATCCAAAAATCCAACTGAGTGGTAACCCTAGCTTGGATAAGGCTTGAAAGATGCGAGGATTAACTTGGTCCGAGGTTAGGGTTACTTGAGTAAGTAATTTGATTATAGTAGTTGGGTCTAGGGATTGTCTTGGTCACGTTTATTGGAAGTCACGATTTGATCACGATTTGGTCACGATTTGGTTGTCACGAGGACACAAAAATTATTGCGAGTCGATTCTACGTAACAATTACGAAACTGATCAATTATTTGATCAGTTTAAGAACTATAAAAGAGTATGCGATAGAATAATTTGGGTACTTTTACTCTAACTAGAGACTGGATTTTACGAGAAAATATCACGTGGACAAGATAGAGAAATTTAATGATTCAAGAAAAACGATTTATAACAATTTAAAAGGAAACGTATTTAGAAACAAACAACCACTTCTTTTCAAGACTATTCAAGACTCAGAAGGTTTTATTTTTCGAACTCTATGAGTTATTTTTATTGAAGGAGAATTTTCGCTCAATATATACTTTCTTTACATATGTAAAATAATAATAATAATAATAATAATGCTATCGATACCAACTATACTAATTATCACTACTATTGCAATAATTCGGGTAACTATAACGATTTACATAATGTTATCTATTTTGAGAATTTTGACGATCCTTACAATACCAATTATTCCATGAATTCTTGGGATTTTCAGAATTCGTTCTACGTCTAGAGCCGCAGTATTACCCGAGGTGGTAATTTCCCCCTTTACACTGTACCTCACCTCTGGTGTGTCGCCGACCAATCATTTTTTTAGATTGGCAATCATATATAAACAATAATTTTTTTTTTGGCATTTTGTAGAGGGTCTATCACCGCCAGTACTATTACAATTTAACACAAAATATGTCACACGAACTTAATCCCAGTTTTTTTTTTTTACAAAACTTTGCACTTGAGTCGTCGTACAAAGTATGAACTAAAGATAGCTTAGAAAAATATAAACACTATGATTTGGCATTGTTCTATAATTAATAACTCTCTTACAGTATTTTAGCACAAGAAAATTCTCATCAATAATTTCGAACTCATTTCATTCTCCTACGGCATCAAGAGGCCGTCGGATAAAGAAGTAAGCTTATTGATTCTACAGAGTAGCTACTTTAAGTTTTAAGTGGTATTTATATAGGGTTGCAAAAACTAAAATACAATTTATATTAACTATTAGTTTACGGATCACACACATGGCCAATGACATTATTTAGTTTCTATCGATATTTACAAGTCTACGCATCATGCAAAAGTTACGTTTTTGATTCATTAATTATCAAAAAATTAAAAAGGTAACTTTGAACTTCTGTCACGTGCATGACAGAAAGTTCAAAGTTCTGGAATTACGGACTCATGGTTGAGGATTATTGTGACCACAATTGGCGATTAACTATTATAATAAAAACACACGGGCTCCATAATGGAGCCCGTCTGTTTATTATATTGATTTTAAAAAAAATATAAACCAAATAAAACAAGATTTAAATATCACGTTTTCTAGAAGACAAAAAAAAAAGATTACGAGTTATGACTATTCAGTAAGTAATAATCATTATATTTGACATCTAATTTAATTATGCAGTTTATCTAAATGATGAATTAGTTTTTCTTGATTTATTGGACTTGGTTTATATATAAATTTCCATACGTAAGGATCTGTAGACTGTACATTTCTACTTCGTAGCGCCAAATGATCTAAATCCCCCATACATAAGAATTATTTTAGTCATAATTGAAGACATTATGTGTTAATTTATGCAAATAATGTTTTAAGCTAGAAATACAAGCCTCGTAACATGTAGGACTTGATTTAATTTTAAATCCCCTACAATCTAAAGTTCATAAAATAGAAGACAGAGTAAAGTTGGGGAAATTTGCCAAAGATTCAATAGACAATGCTTTCAAGCGCTATGCAAGAAGTTATTACTCTGATTTTCAAAAATTAAACATTTTCTTCTTCAGAGCTCAGGTACTTTTAATTATTCAGCATTAACTGCCACATTCCAATTAATAATAAATATCTTCTGTATTGTATGTAAGGTACTTTTTTAGAGTTATTAATATTTGACAGGAAATATGCACCATTATTTAGATTACGAAGACTTGCTCTAGTTGAATTACCATTTCAAAAAAATTCATCATCAACTGAGTTAGTAATTAACTTAGTCAAAGTCTTATTAGTATATCGTAAATTGTTACTGGATAATTAAGTCTATTGAATTAAAGTCAATTATTGAGGATGGAGAAGAGCAATCTAATGGTGGAAAATCTGAATTTGATTATCTAATTCCGACATCAAATACTCCCAGATCATCTATAAATATTAAAAAATAAACTATCAAGCTTTGGTTATCATATATAATAGATTTATAGAATTAAATGTAAAATAGCGGAGCTTACTAATCAAATAGGATTAATGACATTTGTTCTCATTATTTTTCTTAGAGATATTTTTATAATCATTTAAAAAATGGAAGGTTATGTTAACGTTAACATTAAACGAATACAACGAACTCTATTATTAATCAAACGTTTTTTTTTATCCTAACTGATAAGGCATATTTAATATTAAATAGACTTCATATAGACTAAATGATGTTTGTATTTGTGTTAGCTAAATGAGTAGAGAAATTTTAATTTA